ATTTTTTTATTGCAAAGTATTAAATTTCATGTACATATATATAATTTTTCATATATGAATATTCTTCAGAATTTATCATACAATTTATCCTGCATTAAATTTCTTTATTTATCGTATTATATCGTAAGATTCATATTATCGGGATATTTAATTTCTCTCATATCAGTTTTTTATTATCACCAAACAGTTTATGACGTTTTTCCTTTGTTGTATCAAGAATCAAATCTCTATTTTTTTCGATAGATTGTTTGAGAAGAAGTATTTATAATATAGATATAGAAATTTAATTTGGAAACTGTGCGACGAACTAATAATTTTCTTCGAAGTAATACGTACATACGTAGTACATTTCTCATTAATTATAAATCCCTATCATTACTGATATTACAAATAGCTTCCAATCTTCTCATCTTTTTGTTAAAAGAGAATCTCCATTTTGTCTGCAAACTTGACGATGTTGTTCGGTCGCAGATCTCAGCGGAGTACTTTGCAAAGCTAATCTTCGAAGAGCGACGAATTCACGGGAAGAATGATGGTGTACTTCTTATTCGCCGGCTGCATTGTGCAACTGCTGCTTGGTGTTCTCGAGGAGCCGTTTGTCTCGGCTGCAACAACGAGAGGATACGACCCCGCACAGACAACCTCCGCCGCGGATCTGAACGGGGGCGCACAGGACGCGGCCGCGAGCATCAATAATCCGGAATCCGGCTGCCCGTGCTTGACATCGGTCAATAGCTCGACGATCCCCGGACAATCGGACTGGATGACGCAACAGAGCCGGCAACGTCTCGAGCAATTCTACACTCAAAACGTGATGTTGCACGGCATGATGTGTTCGTGCAACGTGGCCATGCACGGCGCTCCAATGAGAGACGATTATCATTACGCGGTAGGTATCGGCGCGCATAAGTTGCACACGAGGGCCGCCACGTGGAACGACGCGAGGAAGTTCTGTAATGAGGAGGGTGGTCATCTCGCCATCATCAATTCTATCGCTGAGGAGCGTGTGAGTCGCTAATCCATTTAACATACTTAAGTATTGTTGATTACGCAATAAATGATTCGTATGATTTTGATTTTCTTCGATCAAATACATTTGTAAGATACGCGAAAAATACGAATAACGATTATAAGGACGTCGAATACCATATCGTAATTATCCAAAATTAATGTTACACGCTATGCAATCTGTTGATCTTTTTTTCAGATACTATTGGACGTATTTAATCGTTCTGGACCGATCAAGGGCGCAGCTTATCCCGACGAGGCTTTTTTAGGTATACACGATCTTTATGCAGAAGGAGAATGGGTTACGGTGTTGGGTGATTCGTTGGCAAAAACCGGTTATACCAGGTGGAGCGATAAGTGGGGCGGACAACCCGACAATGGAGGTGGCAAACAGCACTGTGGTGCCCTAATGAAAGAGGGTGGCATGGATGACGTCGCGTGCGATGTCCCATTTCCATTCCTCTGTGAACTTCCGCTGATGCGAGTTTTACAATAAGAAAAAATAGGAAAAAAAAAATAGCGGCTCAGTGCACCTTTAAAGATTAAGCTCTGCATAAGGTCTATATACTCTCCTTGTGTATCTGCTTTTATGGCGGCATTCCGTGAACATCACATCCACAAAGGGTCTTTTTCTAGAATATACACACAAATATACACATATACACACAGGGTGTTGGTTTCAAAACCATCGGATTTCCTTTTAAGAGCGGATTCTAGTCACTTTCACCACTTGTCATATCGTGCCTATATAAGCGCGTAAAATGTCTTTATCATTCGATACTTTAATCTCTATTAATTTAAAAATTATTGCAACCTTTATATTTTCATGTAAATAACAATAAGATTTTTGTTTTATAATATTTCGAAGAATTCTCTCCGATGAAAAGAAATCCGATGGT